TGGAATTTACCGTGATCGAAGAAGGAAAACTGAAACCGTAGTCGGAAAACAAAACAGAAGCGAGGTTCCAATAAAGAGACAGAAGACAGAGAGAGAAGGGTATAATGGTCTTTTAGCGGAGACGTCGAGAGGACTGTGGAGGCGGAAAGAAAGACGAGAAGAAGAATTAAGAAGTGAAATAAATATTTGTTTTTTTTTTTGAATTATTTTAAGGAGGAAATTAAAGTCCATACACGTGGAAAGGATCGTTAGATGAAATTAGGGAAGATCTGGACCGTAGGATGTGGTTAGGTCAATCTGACAACGGCCATGCAAATGCAATTCCTGTTGGTACGCCACAAAATGCTCAATTAGTAGTCAATTTCATAACTTTCTTACCTAATTTCACAACCAAAATATAACAAAAAAATATTATAGTCTTCTCTTTTGATAAAATTTCCAACTATAAAGATTTTTTTTTTTGTGAAATTAGGAAAATTTTGGTTGAGTTAGATAAGTTTGAAAATGATATTGACCTTGTTGATTTATCAACTCAAGAAGAACAAAAACCCAACAATGTTAAAACTTAAAACAACTATTTTTTTTCTTCTGTTTATTATGTTTTTTTGGGGGGGTTGGTCATTAACAATTTGATTCTAAACAGAGATTCTTTAATTATTTTGTAAGAGGTTATAAACATATATTTAGCAACTTCCATTGTTAAAGCATCATCATGTTCTTAAGCAATTTTCTGTCTCCGACTTCTTCTTAGTCCCTGAAAATTGAGCAATAACTTTAGCTTTAAGTCAATAGCATTCTGATTCTGATTTAAGTATTATAATCATTGAGCATATTAACGTTAGAAGAAAGAAGAAGAAAAAAACAAGATAATTTCACTTAGTAGGAGACTTACAATGTTGTCACTTGTGTTGGTCACTTCTGAAACTGATGCTCCTTCTCCTGAAACCAAATTCCCTTTCACTGAGTTTGCTGAACATCATGAAACATGGGAGTCTTAGTTAGAGATTCCAAATCGAAAAGCAATTAAGAAGAACGTTATATGCATATACCCAACCGAATTCAACTAAAATGTGTGCTATATACTATGCGAACCATTCATCGTGAAAGGCATAGCTAATGGAGGCCTCGTATGTTAATAGTTTCCACCAGAAGGACTAAGAGACTAATGATCCAAGTACCTTAAGTCGACAACTGAAGCAGCGTTGAG